ATATATATATATATATATATATATATATATATATACACATACATACATACATATATATATATATATATATATATATATACACACACAAATACATACACACACATTATATATATATATATACACACATACATACATACACACACACACACACACACACATATATATATATATACATATATACACACACACACCAAAAGAAAACATTATATGCCAGAAACAATGCACTTCTAGACCAGGACATTCACATAAGTATGAATACATTTTACTGAAATGTATCAGAAATAAATGAATATGTACACGCACATACAGTATGGTGGTGTAAATCCCACTCCAGGCCTGGGTACAGCTTTTGCATGTTTCCAGGTACTCCAGCTTTCTCCAGTGGTCCAAAGACCTGCGGTTAGGCTAACTGGTGTCTCTATACTGCATACAGTGCAAAATGGTGTATGTGCCCTGAAACTGACTGGCACCCTGTCCAGGTCATACCCCATCCTTATGCCCTGTGGTACCTGGGATAATATATATAACAACCAGAATAAGCAGTTAGAAAATGCATGGATGAGTGGATAGATATATACACATTTCTGTCCTTTTGGACAACAAACAGAAGAACAAACATGGAAATACTCCAAATTCTAAGATTTCCAAAAGAACTATATTTACAGTCTGTTAAGGTATTATACAAAGCCGGCTTGCATAATTTTTCTAGCTGTGTTTTAAAAATCAAAACTGGTGGGAAGCTCATGTGAAAATCTCAATAGACAGCCAAGGCAACTGGTAACATTATGCCTAGAAATGAACAGCAAAGATCTTTGCAAAGAGATCACAGTAACGATTTAAGGGGAGCAAGGATCTCGTATGAGGATGATGGGTCAATGCTAAGAATATTTCTAAGTACTGGGGGGGGGGGGTTATGGCTTCCACTTTGGTCCTTTAAGCATTTTTACGAGACAAAAAGCCCATATGGGAAAACCCAGCAATAAACTAGCAGCCATCAATAAGTGAAGGGACAGGGGGCTATGAACCAGAGAGGCTGGTGTGGTATCTGCTCTTCAGCAAAGGCGACGGGGTGGTACTGTCTCTGCAGTTTTGTCTGCCATACTGATACATCATCTGCCTGGAACAGTGAAAAGTGCTTCAGAGTCCCATCATAGTGCAACCTCTCTACAGAAGCTCTGCATGAAATCACTCCACCCCTTTTCCTTCCCACATCCATGCCTCTGGTGTCTAGTCCACTTTCTTGGGCTTGCGATTCCTCCAAGTCACCGCACCGATGAATGCTCCTGGGAGAGACCACGGTGATCATGTTCCAACTCACAAAAGAGCAAAGCACCATAAATTGATTACAATTACAATGATGCAATCACAAATGAAAGGACGTACGCCTACCCACGCAAAGAATAAGGATTAATGCTGCCACACCAGGCAGGATCACCGAATATTCTCGAGGAAGGAAGTACTTCTGGATGATGTGGTCGCTGTCCACGAATGGCTAAACGGAGGAGTAAAGAGATATGAAAGGCCATTACAAATGTGACAAGGGCAGTTACTGAGACGCATGCCGGTTTAAAATGGATATGTACCAGGACTATCACCCAGACCGTGTAGTAGCTAAACAAGATAAGGCTGAAGGCAACCAGGCCCATCCCGACAACTTGATCCACTCCAGTTGCCTAAAGTGAGAAAAAAAACATCGCATAGGAGCCGCTAGATACATGTCGCGTGTAGCTTTCCTTGCTAGATACTATCATACTACATAGTAGCAATCGAATTAACTATTAGAGTCAATCAATGAAAATATTTTTCTTAATTTTTGCAAATGCTGCATAATGCATTCCGATTCTATAGCGTATTTTACGTAATTTGTTATTAAATTATTTACTACAGCTATGAATGTGGTTACAGAAACGCTTTGAAATCCCAGCTCACCATGTTTCACGCGTCTTTTTCCCTTCACAACCTACTTCCGGGTCCAATAACCCGGATCTATAGCTCTCTTGGACGACACCCATACAGGGAAATGTAGTTTCCGTTTTAGATAAACGTCAGCATAACCCGGAAACGGTTCTTTTAAATACTGTTCAATATGTAGAGATGCAGAGGTGGGTGTACGGAAGTTTACGGTGCATATACCCACCTAAAACCCACCTACCAAGACACCACTATAATATTGTAGGTACACATATAATAGCCTGAATAAGCTTTCTTTTCCCAGGACGCTTTTATTTACTCCCGTAGTAAGTAAAATAAATGTAAAAATCAAATAGTTTATATATAATCGTTTAAAACGTATTTGTAATTTTAATTCTTAATTTCTGAAATAGGGACATTTAAATAGCCTAATTCTTTATGCCTCTTCCACATGAAAGACACGTGACGGCCATTTTGCATCCAAATGTTTAGAATTTGCAAATTATGATTTACGGAAAATTAGAGTAGGAGGTAAAGATACATCAATTCTCCATTACCGCTACGGTCGCAGTGACACTGAACAGAAATTAGCCAGCACAAGACACAAAACAGTGCAAGAGTTTTCTTCATAAAACGATGTAACCTTTATTCTGGCAAAAATTGTACATTTACGCGATTTCTAGTTACATTTAAAATATAGAATTACACTCTCACATGGTATTATTATACTTTGTAATACCGTTTCACGTTTCAAATTAAACCATGTTTGAACAGTGTATTCGAATAGAATTTGCAGCGAATTTCACACCTGTCTTATTTAAAAACAAATAAAACATTTCTGGAAAACCATAAAAATAATCATCTATATAGTTCTCTTAACATAACGTGATAAAATGTTAAGAAAAAATGTTATGGAAACATTTATCACTTATATTAACTTTAATGTTATAAACTTTTAAATTAGTAGTATATTCCTGTGCATAGCTCATGAGGACAGTAAGAAATAACAGTTTTACAGTGGAGAGTTTAATAAAGCGAATGGCCACCGTTTTAAGTGCTGTTTTAACGAGCATTTAGAAAGAGGCACCCTTTAAGTGCAGGATTCAGGGCTCTAGGGAACATCAATACGGATTTCTTCAGAGAACCAGCCTCAGAAGCCAGCGAGTTTACAGGAGTGACTCAGGTCCTTCGCCGTTAGCGGGTAATGTCCGCCCTCTAGTGGCCATGTATGTCGGCGTCCCATAAAGTGTCAACATTGATGTATGAGCTCGTAACAGCAGTATCTACTTTTATTTCATTAAAAACAAAAATCACAGGTTGCAAACGGTCAAGTATATAGGACCAATTTTTGAACACGTAAAAGCAGTCTTGTATACACAAAAAAACCCTAGATACATTTGTATTAATTAAACGTGGTACTTAATCAGGATGAAGTATTTTTATTTGCTGTGGGATATGGCTATATTAAAAAAAAAAAAAAAAAAACCAGCCCGCTGGTTTGAAATGTCCAGAAAATAACTAACTACTATGAACAGAATCCGAGTTTCCTGCCAATTGGCAAACACCAAACAATGGGTGACATTTCAAATACACACATTTCGACATCTCCACATATTGTGAATAATAGGAAAAAACAAATCAATATTTTATCTGGCATTCTTATTCCAAAGAATAAATGGCTTTTGGCTTCCTGGGTTAACAGGGTATGAGTTTTCTTACTAAAAACTGCCCTATCCACACGTTGATTAATTTTGGTTGGATAGAAAGGCGCCTTGCGATCCCAAAAAACAAGCCCACAACGGGCCATGCAAGCAACATGATTGACGAGCTTGTTCTGTCCACCACCAGGGTGTGCTGTTAGCCATTTTTGAGCAGTCATTGCTATAATAAAGGTAAAGGTGTGGGGAATATTTTGGTGATCACATTATCGTGTCAGTAGCTGTGTCTCAGATGTTTTAACACCGAACCCTATTCAGCCCAAACCCAGCACCTTTTTCACAATATTAAGAAGCATCATAAGGGAAATGAAGCTTAGATTAACAAAAGTCTGTAGATTATTGCCATACTTTAATGTATTCAACATATTATGGTGTTCCTAAAAGACAAAGACACCTACAATGTGCAGAATAATCTGCCCTCTTTATATCCATTTCCATCACAGTCTCTGATGTTAAGTCTCTGACACGTTATCCGTGGAGACTTGCCCATGAGGGGGTGGGGGGTCTAAAACAGTGCACAGCACATTTATTGTGGGGGGAGAAGGCAGCCCTCTCCATCGGGAAACATTTCCACTCTCCACCACTGCCCTGTACAGGTATGCTGTGAAATAAGACATAACCCAGCATGTCAGCTGCCACCATACCCACAATGCAACAGGTTGCCCCCATCAACCCCCAGCACCTCATCGGCAGAGCTACCTTGGTCACTCTGTCTCCATGGAGACTAAGCTACAATCTTTGAATGACTGGGTGGTCAGTCTGTATGCATGATCAAACCTGCTCAGCTGTCCAGGACCAAACTGAGAAGCACAGATCACCAACACAGATTTTTTTCTGCTCTGCTCACTTCAGCCACGGCATCTTTGCGTATCTATCTCAACCCTACAATCAGCTACTTTCCATACTCTCCTTATTAGCTTATTGACAGAAATACATATTGTATATAAAGAACTAAGAATGCTCCAGGTCGTTTCCTGCTGAGCACATAACCAACCTATAGGCACGACTTGAAATGATTCAGTGTTGAAGCATAGCTACCAATAGTGAGCTTTATATGTTTCTTGTGCCAGGCTGTGATGTGAGGGGAGCAAGTCAAGTCAAACCATGCCACTTGGTAGCACCATGCGAACACACACTTCCCAAAACCCAATGCAAGGGGGAAAAAGTTGTTTCTGTAGTTGCTCCCTTTGTCATTTGGAACAAAAAAAGGTTCCATAGGACTTGTAGTCCTCCACTTATAAATGTGGCACTACAGCTCCCACAATGCACTGCCATGCTGCCACATAACTTGAATACTTATGGTCTTTTGAATATACCATTCCAATTAGTAACTATAACAATAAATATGTGATATTCGTAATTACCACCATTGAATCCACCCTAACCTTTGGATGGTACTATATCATTCCATCGGTTTTGTAATGTTATGGCCTGGTGGAGTTCAGTGAAGTGCTTTGTCTGTCTTGCTCATAAACACCATGAAAACCACATGTTCTCTCTCTCAATCTCTCTCACAAACACACACACAAACAAACACAAACACACAATACAGCAGGAGACAGGGAATCCACAGGAAGTAGCAGTGTCCTGCACCACCCCAGGCTGAAGCTACTCGTCCCCTTCTCTATTTTCCAAAACCAGGGGGAAGGGGTGAATCGGGGCGGGGGAGGGGGGGCTGGAGAATGCTGAAGCCGGAACCTCCAGGGCTTCTAATGGCTTTCGATCACCACGGGTTCGAAGACACCAGCTGACACCCTGGAAGAACAAAGAGGATGATGTGAAAAACAAGCATCAGCACAGGGGCGTGTGGAAGGGCAGGGCTGGGGCCCGGTGCCGTCTCATCACAATAGCGATTGCCAAAGTCAGAGTGCACCCCCACCCAAACACGGCCACTGTGACGAGATGAAAACACGGCCCAATTTGACACATGGAAAGGCTTACAAAATAAGAAATAAAAAAACACCAGAGGTATGATGCAAATTTGTAGTGAGTAGCCAGTCAATGAGTCACTCAGTTATTATACAGCGCATGTGACTCTTAGTAATTAATACCCAACAGCTCATTTGGTCATAAGCATTTCCATCCAGCTGTGTTTATGATACAAAAATATTGTTTGAAACACACCGCTTATGGCTTCCTGTCAGATTAATTTATACAGCTGAATATTGAGTCATTTGGTTAAAGAAAATGCAGCAGTAGTCTGGCCTTTAAATCTGCCACATTTTAATCAAAAGTTCAGTTTCTTAATCTCTGACACCCCTCGGCTCTACCTGCTAATAGTTTTCAGCAGCATTTATAGCTGAAATAAAATACTGGTGCATATCAGCATACTGGTGCATATCAGCATCCTGGTGCATATCAGCATCCTGGTGCATATCAGCATCCTGGTGCATATCAGCATCCTGGTGCATATCAGCATACTGGTGCATATCAGCATACTGGTGCACCTCCCATCTGCTGACACACCCCCTCCCACCCAGTACGCCAGTCACTCACCTGTTAGCCCCCAGCTGAATCCCACCAAGCGCAGTAGTACCATCCCTGCTGACAAACAGTCTCAGATTGCTGTCTGTGACAGGAAAAAATGGGGGGGGGGGTCATTATGTTATGATCCGGTTTAACATAAATACCCTGAAAAGAGAGTAACATGCTCCTGTCATGGATCCGTTTCCAAAACTGCATTCTGATGGTTTCTGATCCAAGCCACGATGCTGTTTTCTCACCTTCGTTGTTGCTGACATCAGCGAAGTTCTGGCTCTGGACAATCTTATCCACAATGTCATCCGCGTCCATGCGGGTATCGTCCACCCAGCTAGGGTGATTCTCCACAGACACCTTTGTCCTCCTGTGCAAAACAGGGACTGCAGTCACATAAAGTCACCTTTGCCGGTGTGTTGTCTAGACTGCACACCTGAACACTGGCCTGTTTGTTATACAAAACCCACATGACGTGCAAACACTGATTCTATCTGCTCCTGATGCTGCGTTTCATTTGTAAAGAAATATATCAGTGGCTCTTGAAATTCCCCGAGAAGGCGAATCTCTGGATGAATGTCATTCTGAATTTGTTTAGATCACGTTTTAACCCCACGCCAGCAAGGTGAAAACTAATGGTGAAAACCAGGTTGCATCTAAAGTAAGATACAAAATAAACATCCCAAGAAGGAACAAAATATATAAAACTATAATGTTTACAAGCAACAAGTTACAAGTCTATCCATTCTGTTGTGAAGTATTAGAAATCTTAGCTAAATGGTTAAAGATGACACTGGCAATGTTTGTGTCTATTAGGAGACATGACTACAGTAATATTATATTATTGTAATATAATAATAATATGTAATATAATACTGAATACGGCATTATTACGGCAGCCAGAGTGATACTGCGGAACTGGAAGCCTCCTATGAAAAAATGTTGGCCAGGATAGATGGGAGGGATTGGAAGATGAAGGGTATCTGGGCTGGTTTGTGCCATAAATGACCTGATATTCAGGATAAGAGGAGTGTGTGATAAGTGTTTGCATCTTTGCATTACTTGTTTTACAGTTCAGTTGGATGGCCTAATATACGGGGACTCCTGTGTTTACCAAGTATGTTTATATTAGTTTGATACTATACTGTCCGTATTGTTATGTTACACAGTGTTGTAAGATGGAAGTGTCTGGACATTTATGGATCAATAAAAGTTTGAACTATACAAAAAACAAGCAACAATTTATAAAATTCAATAGCTGTTTTTTTCAACAAAAAAAATAAATCTACAACTTCCTCTCATTTAACCTTGCGAAAACAATATTGAAGACACATTTAACCAATGGAATTAAAACAATTCATTTAAAACGTGCTACAGTGACAGAGGTCTTTGACATGTGAGACAGAGGGGATTCCTCACCAGTTAGTGAAAATATAAGCCTAGTACATCCTGAGCTGCACTTTCCATACCCAATCTGGTCCCAGCGATTTCACCAGCAGCTGGGTTGGTTTCATGACGTTCATTTACACGCTCTTCCCATTCAGTTTGCATGAGTTCAGGCTTGATGCCTGAAGGCAGTACTGGAAGCACCCAAGCAGGAACCTCTGCCTGGTCATTACTGAATACACCACATTGGTCTGGGCCCCAAAAGAAGTAAACATTATTTTTTGCCATGAATTGCCCATTTAGTTAAAAATTTCTGTCAGATGGCCTGTCTAAAGATGTTAGTACTTGAAATCTTGAGGGCTTGAATGGAAGGCAACTGGACTTTTTTCAGTTTCTTGAAAACGTTTCACCTCTCATCCGAAAGGCTTCTGCAGTTCATAAACATCCCAAGAAGTTCAGAACCGAAGAAGCCTTCCGGATGAGAGGTGAAACGTTTTCAAGAAGCTGAAAAAAGTCCAGTTGCCTTCCATTCAAGCCCTATAGATTATCAAGTGCTGGACGACTGAGAGCCTACACACGTTAGTACTTGAAGACAAGATTTAACATCATTTAGCAAACTAAGAAATCTGCCATTCAATGTGAACAAAAGAGCACAGACTTCTTTTACAGAAGCGGAGCTTTTGCGTGTCGTACAGCGAAGGCTCACAGAGTTAGCTGCACCTGTGTTACTAGCTTCCACACACACATGCTGAACAGGAGAAGTGCTAAATGCCCCCAGGGCAAAAGGGATGCCTTCAAGATGAACAGTATCTAATAACTTTATGACTTGCTGGAGGAGCCATAAATTATGCTCCAGTAATCCAATCGCAAATGAATCAGTGTTGGGTAGTCATAGTTGACGTATTGAATGCAGAAGAAATAGGCAGGACTAAAGACATGAGTGACTGAGGGCAAAATCGTTATGGCCAGACGACTGGGTCAGAACATGTAGATCACAAAGACACTGAGGGTCTTTTTTGGACAACAAAATAATGCTGATGGTATAAGAAGAGGTCAATATCGCAATATAAAACTGTAATGTCGACTATAAGATATAAAAGGGGCTCGTTGTTGTATCACCTGTATGCAATCTGAGTACATTACAGGGATGGGTATCATTCAGAGGTGACTTGAGAATGACCTTGAAAATCAGATTCAATTCAAAGAATTGCGCGTTGAAAACATGATGCCAAATCACCACTTTTTAAATCACTAATCGGATTTAAGGAAATAGAATTAGAATGGAACTGATTTTGCATAAATTCATATATGTAAGTGCAGCACAACACAGCTTGCCAGGTATGCCCACAGTTGCGGGCATACCTGGCATTGTAGGTGCAGTGGATGGAACCAGAAAGCATTCTTGGCACTAGGCCTAAATGTCCAGGTGATATGCAGCCATCAAGGATGTTTTACAGACATTGTCACCGAGTGGCCTGAGGGCACACGTGATGATTATATCTGGTCCAGCTTTGGAATGTGTCAGATGGTGAAGGACGGTGCATTTGCTGGTGGCTGGTTATTGGGAGACATCAGGCATCCTCTTAGCTAATACCTGCTGATTCTAGTGTTGAATCCCCAAACCATAAAAAGTAATGATTTATTTATGTTATATAACCAATAAATCTGCAATATTTTTACTGAATTAAGCAAACCTCCCAACACTTCCTGTGAGCACTATAGATTGCCTCCAGCTCTGCCTCTTAATGAATGTGCAATCCTGTACACAAACTTTGAACTTTGCATAGTTTCTAAAATCTCTCACGCCTCAACTGCGTTTTTGCATGTCTTTGAACCATTGAACATGTCTACTGTGAGACTACTGATGACGGCATAGTTTTGTTAGCTAATGAGACCAAACTGTCAAAGGTATTTTTATTTTGTCCTCTACCTGTTTCCCAGTCCAGTCCTCAAGAATGGACAGTCGGCCCATGTTTTTGCTCCATCTACCAGACAATCCACATTTTTGCTTAGGGAGCAAAAACCTGAACTATCTGTGTGTCCCCGAGGACTGGATCGGGAAACACTGCTCTACCTTTTCACTGTCCCTTAAATGGTTGCGTTTTTCAATTTTCATCTAGGTTTATTGAAATTTGTTGAAATCCAGAATTTGTTTTATTTCCATTAGCCTGGTTTTGTTCTGTTCTAAGACAGACTCTGATCAGTCTCTAAGGGTTATTAAAATTATAAATAATTATTTAAAGTGATTGGTCAAATGGGACTGACCTTGAAGGCCTGTTGGGGGGCAGGGCTGGCCTTGGTGGCCGGGGGGGTTTCTCTGGTCGGGGTGGCTTCTCAGGCTCCTTTTCCGGCTCGGCAAGCCCCCCAGAGATGCTGCTGCTGGTTGAGGTGTTGCGGTGATGTGTGAGGTCCGTCAGGCTGGAGGAGTGCGAGTGCTCTGTGCTGTACCCTGGAAAGAGTGTTTTACCATCAGCACTCAGGGGCTCCGTCTGTCTCTGTCTGGTTATTACAGGCCAGTCATAAGAGCTGCAAGAGCCAGGGCAGATAACCTGAAGCTATGGGTGACCTACCAGAAGTCAAACGAAGGGCAGATTTGTGCGTGTCTATGTCACCTGATATTTTGCTGTGTTGGCTAGTGTAGCTGGAGTTACGGGAGTGACCCGAGTGGAAGACCTCATCCGGGCTGGACCGGCTCTGGAGCGGGCTCTGATCAGCCTCCTCCGGCAGACCTGGGACTGAGAAGCAAAACCGCATATGAGAAAACACCAGCCCAAGGTTCTGGGTCAACCTGGACCTGGATGGCAGGGAGGTAGTTAAGAACAAAGACTAAGTCTTATAAATGCCGCAGATACACACACAGCTACACATATGTGTGTCTTCTCAGGATCCGATATGTACATATTGGCAGAGTGTGATACTACTGTGAAAAACCATCGCATACCAGCATCAATGTCTCACATTGATCACCATGTCTCAGTGCTGACAATCCCACAGTTAAAGACCCTCCCCTTCTTGGGATGTTAACTAGCAACTGATATGAATAGTTTGTGCCTGATACAGATAGAGATCTTAAGGAGATAAACATTCTGATAAATCAACATGATTGGAGGTGGAGGGGCGTGGATCAGTGGCGCAAGGCCCCTCCCTATATGAGAAACATTTGTGCTTTGGTAATTTTTACTAATAGACCAACAGCCACCTGATCCCCCCCCCCACCCCCCAAGGAAGGGGCCCATCGACCCTCCGTAGGGCCCCTAGTTGTTGCACTGGTTGTAGTTCCGCCAGTAGCGTGGATGTCTGGTGTTTCACTCTTTTGGGGCAGTATTTCAGTGATTTGGGATGGGACTCTGGTGTAGTGTACAGTCTTCACCCCCCACTTTCATTTGGTATAAGACAGGTAGAGAGTTTGTGCATTTAGGCGGATGTAGGTTTTTGTTGTTGTTTTGGCAAAAATCCACAACAGACAGTAGATGACAGTTTCTCCTGCTTTGTATATCTAACCATCGTAACCACACACTCTTTGGCCACCCAATGGTCACACATCTCTCACCTGAGCCGACTGTAGGTTTGGGTTTGGGAAAGCGCCCTGGTGCCATGACGACCCCGGCTGGTGTGCCAGGTGCTGCAGTCCCCGCCCCTTTACAGTCAGGCTGCAGTGAGTGGTCCTGCCCCGGCATAGAGATGGTCTTTGCAGTGCTAGGGGGTCTGGCGACCAAAGATGATATCACACAGCTTTCTGTCAGTGTAAAAACCTAACACACACATTCCCACTCAGAACTTTGAGGGCCCGATTAGTCCGTCACTAACAACGCCATTTCTGGCCATGAGATGGCGCCAAATTTTCATCTTTTAATGCCTTTTCTGACAACGCGGTCGCACAAATGAAAAACTGCTCACCTTTTAAAACATGGATCTCCAGATAAAAGTGTCATTGCGATTGTAACCTGGAAACAGTATCATGAAGAAACTTATTAATGACTAATTGATTACATTTACAACCCATTACAGATGGCGTTTCACAGAGCAGCCTTCAGGACAACAGATGCCTATGCTTTAAAACTCACACAGTGATCAAGTTGCAAATCTGAGCCCCACAAAGATTAACGCTTAGAACCTTATCAACTTTATCAATTTGCACCCCTCCCACACACACCCACAAGTAGGCATGGAAACACCAAGCCCTTGTCACAGCTGAATACCCCAGCCATACACAAGTGAAGTGACACACTGCCCTCTGATGCCCATACAGTGACCTCTGACCTTGAGGATGGAGTTGTCCTGCCTCGTGTTCTTGGTGTCATACCCCTCCAGCAAACAGCAGCGCACTGTGGACCCCGAGCCAGCGAACTCTGCCATGTTGAGATCAGCAAAGCCCAGCTGGGGGGGGG